TGTTTGCTATCCCCCTGCTCATCCCGCTTCACCAAGGCCCTGCTTCATTTTGACTGCGTATCGCACAATGGATGCGCGAGAGTATCTACAACAAGTCCCAGTCATTGTGTACTCTTTCGATCCTGAGGCTCTTCTAAGAGCAAACGACGCTCCTATTGACATGCTCTTGAAGCTCTCAAGAAGATGCGCCTTGAGTTGGAGATCATCGAGCTTTTGAAGCCAGCCCTGAATGCAATGCTACCAGATTTCACGAGCTTCGAACCACATACACAGTATCCTAACCAGGCTCAAGAGCTTCCTGCCCTACGTTTTCGAGACTCGGGATGACCCCAAAACCCAGGCTCTTCGGAAGCTGGATTGCACATCCATCAAGATCTGCGGCTTGTATCTCACCCAAAAGGCACTTAGAGACCTCAAGCCCGAGCAGCTTGACTTGCTTATACAGCGGACTGAGACGGCATCTCGGAATTTGCTGCATATTATCTCTGCAAATGACGATATTGACAAAGTGGTTCGACTTTGTAATGTTGAAGGCGAAGACTATGAACAATTTATGACCGGTAGGTGTACATTCAGTGACAGCTGTCCACGTGTATTGACAACGTCAGACCACAAAAAGGTTCGACGACTTGGTAAAGGGTCCGTCGAGTTGGCTGCACAATATTCCTTGGCCGGGCGACCATGTTGGTGCTTCACCGGGGTGTCGCAGAAAGCTATCCACTCCTCATTTGCCATGCCCTCTGCTAGAGCTGTTCGAGACATCACGACATTCTTACCGGTTGACGAGAGTTTCGACTGTATCATCAGAATGACGGTTGGGTTCGACACAGCTTCTGAGAATACTTTTCGGTCACCAAGTGCCTCAACCTATCACGGCAGGTAAGGAATGAAAAATCAAGGACAGAACCACAACTTACTAGTTAGCAGAACCCTTTGCACTCGAACGTGCAGTCAGGGGTCAGATCGGAGCAGTATTTGGCAGCATCGTGTTGGGTGGCATCATCGCCAGTCATGCATGGACAAAGGAGATACAGGACGGATTGGAGATCGAGACATCATGTGTGAAGGTACATGTATATCCAGGGTCCTGTCTTATGGTCACTTTGTGCGTTGGATGGATGGAATGTCTCCAGATTGTCCAAATGTTGTACAGGTAATCAAAACGCTTCATTCACACATAGCCCATCCACCTTTCGCAAGAACACGTATGCCCGCTGGGAGCGTTATCTGCCCACTGCCATGCGTATTCCACACTGTTGTGCCTTTCTCATCTTGGAATCGTATGTCCTCGCAAGATTTGCAATATAAGGTCCGCGTGTGATTCTTCTGTTCAAATAGATGTACCGCGCGCTTGTGCTCGTCCCCGAACTGGGCTGTGGTAGAGTCCTGCCAGCTATCTCTCTGCAACGATTAGTTGTGGTAAACACAAGTGCAGGAGTAACAACTCACCAAATCTGTTTCCGTGGTTGACATAACTTCAAATCCAGGCCCCAGAGCTTCAGGTCTGGAGCAGGCCAGTTCGTGCGACGGAAACGGACTGGAGTTTTGGCGCCAAAGGAGAGGCCAACGGGCCGTCAGAAGCCGGCGTAGTAGAATCTGGGTGTGCAACGGAATGAAGATGAAGACTCGTTGAGCTAGAGAGCCGATTTAGACATTACGGGAGCGAAAAGGTTGATGAATGTAGCAAGTTTAGACAGCGGGAGAATCAAAGTATAGTTCAGATGAAGTGGGGTTGGCGGGCATCAAAGCCTAGTTTACCGCGACTGGCCGTCGGTAAGTTGGGCACTGACAGTGGGGTGAGCTGGAGCCCAAGTTCAAAGGGTGCAACGCACCCGGATCCGCTGCCCGTAGTATTTTCATGCCAGCAACCCTTCAGAGTGGCCGATCTGCATGTTGTTCCAACTAAGTTGGCCATGGAGGATGATGCACTTTGCGAACCACACGCCGCGGCCACAACGTCAACTTTCCAGAGAAATCTAAGTAGTACATTTTGATCGCATGCCTTTGTTTGCTACTCCACCACAGAATCTTAAGATAATAGCTATTGCTGGTGTCTTAATAACCTCATCTTCTGGTGGATGGTTTTGGTATTCGCCGCGCACCGCACCGCGCGCGCATCAACTGAATCAGCACATCAAGTGCACAGGCACAATATAATCCCCTGGAACGATGGCCCGTGCAAACGACTAGTGCCAAGCGCGAGAACGCCGACGTTATCCCGCGCCCGTCCCTGTGGTCAGCGCGTTGGTGGCGCGTTTGCCTCCTTACCTTCGATGTACCTTTTCACAATGCACTTTCGATTTTGGTAACTCATGTTTCATTCGGCGTATCTGGTCGAAAGTCTGCCGACGGAACGATGGCTTTCTGCTCAGCTGCGAAAAATGGCTGTTCCATCTTGATCAGAAATACTCGCTCCATACCGATAGAGGATGGATTGAGCAGCGTTCGCAATTCATTCAATTCTCTATGTAAAGACCATGGGATACCGGCTTCTTTGTCCGCTTTAGGTTGGATTGGAATTAAAGGTAAATCGACTTGAGTATGTTCATGTGCGCTTCTAAAACCTCTTAGATATTCAAAAAAAATCACTTGCTCTCATATCATCTCGCAAGGTGCAGATCTCGAAGAATCTAGGATAAAACCCAGCTGAAGCCCAATCAAGAAGACACAACGAACCGTTCCTCAGTTTAAGAATGTTACGGGAAGCGATATCAAGATGACACAAATTGTAGGGTTGATCCTCGATATTCAATTTTTCATGACGTTGTAACTGTCGTGTGCTAAAATAGTTTTCAACATCATTAGCGCTCGTTGGCGAGATCCAATTTCCCTCTATCCACAGAAGTCCGCGTGCGAGACCTCCGCCAAGTGGGCCAGGTTGATCATTCTGAATTTGCGAGAAATGAGCTAATTAGTGCTTTGGCAATGCGGTCACATGCTATAGGATCTTCCGTAAAGTTTAGAAGTTTTCCATCGATGTATTCCATTATAATGTATCTAATGTCCTTGTATGAGACGAACCGGTGTACTCAGGGAACGCGGATAATTGTCTGGTCAATCAAATCGTACGCTCGGATCTGACTCGTCGCCTCTTCTTGCGTTAATCCATAACCGTATTTGATGACTACGTCGCTTGAGATTCTGATGACCGAATGTCCGCCGTGGAGTTCATAGAGTACATCGCGGTCAAGATTGGAGCGAGCGCAATAGCTGGCGAGCTCTTGGTCGGTAGCTGTGTCGTGTTGAAGGTACATTTTGGATTTCTAGAGATTGCGGAGTATCTGGGTTTTGGTCAGTCGCTTCCTTGGAAGGTTCTATGGTGAGAGGTATTTTACCATCAGATCTGCGCGTGGAAGCGATACTGAAGGCGCAATAAAGGGACGTTGAGAAGGTCGATCGGAAGCCTTCCACTTTCGCTTATTACAGCATTCGACAGAAAAGGTGTGAAAGAGGTGAAGTGACGTTTCTTTCTGCCTTGAGACGCCAAGAATAACTGGAGCGCTTGGCTAAAGCGATGAGGCGAAGATCTGACGATACAAAGCCAAATCACATAGCAGAACGGATATAAGATTATACTTGAGAGTGTCACATATCGCCAACAGTCACAGTAAACACAACACAGTTTTGATAGGCTAGCTAGTCAGCCCAACGCCCTCCGACGAGTTCTGAGCAACGTCGGCTGAAGTTTGGAGGACGAAAGAGCTTGCGACGGCGAAGGCGGGGTAAATAGACGCTGACTGCAGCATTATCACGCGATCACGTGGGCCGGACACACGTTGTCCATCGCCGACGTTTTGCCGAGCCAGCCTCCTTGGCCTGCGCGCTGGTCGCGTACTTCGCCGCTTGTATCCTCGTCCTCGCCGTAGCCTCTCACAATGCACTTTCTGCCTCGGACACTCATAGTCTCTACGTACGAAAGTCTGCGCATGCAAGCTCGTTCGCACAACCGAACTACGACTCCTTGAGCGACTGCAAACAATGGCAGCCCCGTCTCGGTTGGAAATACTCAACTCTAAACCCATAGGAGAGGGATTGAGCAGCGTCCGCAATTCGTTTAATACCCTAAGTAGGGACTTGAACGTATCCGACAAAAGTAATACCCACACCTCCTCTGTTGTTCTCACGTCTAAGCCATACTAGAACTGAAAGACCTAGCCGTCCATCTCATCACAGCATTGCAAGGTCTACCAGTTGCCCGATCACTCCCGTCCGTCGCAGGCCGAGGGACTCTTCGCAGTGATCTATTGCGACTTGAACTCTCGACGGAAGCTGACAACTTTGACATTGAACGCATTAAACCACTTCTTCGAGCAGTCCTCGAAAACGAACCTGATGAAGTCGTCTGGAACAGAGTCTACGACGCCGTCACCGAATCGACGCCTCCACCCTGCCCTACCTCGTCCTTCCAACAAACGCCCCTGTCCATCAACACAGGCAGCTTCGCGAACTCGACCGAGCACCGCAAACACGTAGATGATGTGCTGAAGGAGGAGCTGGGATACCTGTACGTTGGCATACCCGGTTTCTTCAAGGCGTTTTTCGAAGACGTGCCAGGGCTAAGACCGGCGGCAGAGGCCGTGTTCAAGAAGTGCAAGGAGGGGGAAAGCCCGCTCTATCAGGTGGAGAGCGGCTGGCAGGGCTGGCCTGAAGGGGCAAAGGAAAAGGACGTTCTGAGCTGGTTCGCGCCGCTTATAGACCAGCTTCTGGACTTTGCGGAAGAGCATATGCCGGGATCCCATGGTCGACGGCGACCGTTGGCACAGCCCCATCGACCCTTGCAAGGCTCCGCTGCCGATCGCAAGCTGGATATTGGCTTTGTGGACGATCCGAACGCCGGCGTGGACTCGAAGTGCCGCTGGTCACAGATCCTCATACCTGGAGAGCTCAAGAGCAACCCGCTGGCCGACAAAGCGTCCAAGGCGTGGCTTGACCTCGGCCGATACGCGAGGGAGGTGCTCGCTGCTCAAGACAGCCGCCGCTTCGTTCTTGGCTTCACTCTCTGTGGACCCTTTATGCGGCTGTGGGAGTTTGACCGACTTGGAGGCATCGCCTCCGAGCAATTCGACGTCAATGAAGATGGACTGCAGTTTGTGTCTGCAATGCTTGGGTTTCTTTGGATGAACGAGGAGCAGCTGGGGTTCGACCCGACGATCATTACAGTTGGAGACAAGCGGTACATTGAGATCGAGCGGAACAATGGCAAAGAGCGCCTCGTCATTGACAGGGTCATAAAGAGGGTGCCTTGCGTCGCTGGTCGAGCAACAACCTGCTGGAAAGTTTATCAAGAAGAAGATCCTGGCACGCCGCTCGTTGTCAAGGATTCATGGCAGTATCCGGAGCGCGAAGAGGAAGGCGAACTGCTACGCGCGGCGACTGAGAAGGGGGTGGTGAACGTTGCAAGGTACTTCCACCACGAGACGGTTCGTGTAGGTGGTCAAGATGACGACATCCGCGCAAACGTACGGAAAGGCCTGGACGTAACGAAGGCGACGAACTACAAGCCAGAGAAAGCGATGCTGCCACCGAGCACGACCGGACGCCGGACCTCGCGAAGGGATGGAAGCAACAACCTCATCGGGCGAAAACGATCCTCGAGTTGTACAGACGCACCTTTGCCGCCTAGCAAGCGCACTTGCTCGAGCTCTCCAGTGAAACGTGCTGTCTCGAATCGGGTACACCGCCGTGTCATCGTCAGCGACTACGGGAAGGCTATCTACAAAGCAAGCTCCCAGATCAGTCTGCTGGCTGCATTCGAACAATGCATCGAAGGGTATGAGTCGTTGCATACACGAGCAGGCATGCTTCAACGCGACATATCGCTAAACAATCTCATGGTGAACGAGGATAACGATAACCCCTCCTGGCCCGCGTTTTTGATCGATCTCGATCTTGCCATCAAAGAACAGCGCGAAAAGTCTTCAGGCGCTTGGGGTAAGACTGGTACCAGAGCATTCATGGCAATCGGGGTACTTTTAGACGACGAACAACACTCCTACATGCACGATCTTGAATCCTTTTTCTGGGTGCTATTCTGGATATGCATTCATTATGACGGTCCGCAGGAAGCGAGGATTGTTCCACGGTTCGATAAATGGAACTACCTCGATTCAGAAGAGTTAGCTGGCGCAAAAAAAGGCGTTGTGGATGATGAACGAGACTTTCTCAAAACAGCCCAGACCAACTTTACGCCATATTACCAGCCATTACTTCCATATGTCAATAAGCTTCGGAGGAAAGTATTTCCTAATGGTGAGAGATGGAGGTCTCCCAACCCACAGCTGTACCTTGATATGAAGCAGATCCTCCAGGTGGCTCAAAATGAGCTCAAGGAAACAGGATGTGCCTAGCACCAGAAACCAATCGAGGCATAATCATAGGCTTCACAATGGCTACAGATTGTATGTGCAGGTTTTCAAACCATTGGAAAGTGGGCTGTGAACGACAACCTTCGCACGGTTACCCTCAGCTCGTGGTACGATGGCCCATCTGTTTAGACAACGTTTGGGAAGCTAACGCAGCCGCGTCCGGGTACCTCCATCGCATACACCACGTTGCGCACCGCCGAGCTAGCCGATATCAAGCCATCGCTGTAGAGAGATAATCGACAGCGTTATGCCCCTTGTCTTATTGATTGCCAGTCTGTCGCACATTTCATGAATGAAAGACGATGATGAGGCTGATGCGCTTATCGGCACTTGGAGCCGTGGCTTTTAGCGCAGCTGGCTGACTTGCTGCACGAGCTTAAGACGTCGCGGTAACTTCAGACATAGACATTGCAAGCAAAACTACGGTGAAGAAGGGGCAAAATCTAAGCGCATATTTCATCGAAGAAGCAAAAAGGAACCGTTGCCATGTATATTCAGCCGTAATAATTTGCTTTCGTTGCACTGTGTACCAGCGAAGGGGAGTTTGGGCGCATCAGTGAGACACTCCGTGAACGTCAAGCGCATGCCTCTTGAAATGCATCATGTCAACCAGCATGACGGAACAACTAGGGTGGCGGCATTGAAACCCTGACTGAAGTTCAGGGAGTCGGAAATGGGTCTCCACGTGCTTCTTCAGGACATCTTTTCGTGGAACATGGCGCATCCTCCGTTCATACGAGAACTCTTCATTCCCTATACAGATAAGGCATACCGGATGAGGGAGCACTCTTGGGTATAGCTGCCGAAACTGAGCCTGCAAGATGTTTCCGCGCGGAGGTACGTCAAGCTCTTCTTCCGCAATTTCGCCATCCTGATTTAGCAGGCTGTTCTCAACACTATCGGTGCCCTTCTTTCGTTTGTTTGACAAATATGAGCCGTTGGCTTCGCGGGTTACCAAACCCACATTTTTTCGCTTGAATGCCTTTGGTTGCCGCGTTTCTTGTTTGTGGCACAATCTAGCCAAGGTTCGCACAAATCTTACCCGGGTTTTGTCGTCCTGAATTGGCTTGAAGAGCATGCCGGCGATGGTGGCTCGCTCCCGAAGTTCAAACTCAACGGCTGGTAGCGTTAGGACTTCGGCTGCGGCCTTCCCACTGAGTTGCCTGGCTATCTCGATTGTATCGATCGATTCATGGAACTCGTTGTAGGCCGCATCTAACCGTTCTCTGTACAATCTCTGGTATGTACTGCTAATCTTTCGCTTCGAGTCCTCGTATTTCTTGTAAAGATCCGTCCCTTGACCCTTCGAGAGTGGATGGAAGCCTTGGTCATGGAGCTGTTCTTTGTATGTTTCTCGCTCCTCTCGAAGGACCGCGAGTGCAGGATCGTTCCGTAAGGCCTCCTGTTGCGCGTCATCCAGCTCCGTGGGTGCACGTCGATCCCGTGATAAGCCTATGCGTGCAACAGATTGGATGAGGAGGTCTTCTGAAGGGCTTCCAAAGTAGATAGACTGAAAGTCGCGGGCAATATGCGTTGGCGTGTAGTACTTTTCGTATGTGCTCCCGAGATGACCCATAGTCTGGTTCCGTTCTACTGGGTCAAGCGCGCCTGGTGGATCCTATAAGCTTAGGCGAAACAAAAGCAACACGCGCTCTAAGGCAGACTTACTGTTGATATTCCTCCTAGAAGCCCAACGGAGCTGGTACAGCTCTAATGATTTCTCAAAGCCCGCAACACGCCCTAAGCGTACAAAGATATCGCGGTATTTCGCATACGGAAACGCTTGCTCTGGTAGTATACGAACACCTTCGCTAGTGTTCCTAACATCGCATAGAAAGGGTTGGTTTAGCAATTCCTTTTTCCATTTGACGCGGAGTACGTCACGGCCCGCAGGTATATTGAGGTCAAATATATCCTGAACACTAGTAAAGTTGTCCCTTAATGCTCCTTGACTGACGCTAATGCTCAGGATATACGAAACTATGCAGAAGGCGAGGGTCCCTTCTAGACGGAAAGTGAACTTCTTCCTACAACACAGTACGAATCAGCAAGACTTCTTAACTCCCACATCTACTATTCAACTTACGGCTTCCTATCCTTTTCCTTATTCTTGATGTTCTCGAGATTGACATTCGCCACAATAATACTCCGGCTAGGATCTACAGTGCTGCGAACCTTCAGAAGTTCGATATTCCTGAACGAGAGTGACTTGTTGCTGCCCTTAGCGCTTGCGCTTTCGACAATGGCTCCTGGTCTCGTGGCTGTAGCAGCGCTAAGGAGGAGAAGAAGCGAAATTTGAACTCGGATATAGCCATGGAGGGGTTTGGTGTCGTCGACCCAGAGTGCGTGGAGGATAGCGTAGAGATCCTGGACGTACATGGCATGCTTTTCCTTCTCGGATTTGTCAAGCATTAGGGTTAGAATCTACTACCGCCGTGTTAGTGCGCCGTCATGCAAGGGAGAAAAGTGTCCATCAGAATATACATTACAAACATCGGTGAGGACATCAGCGTCCATCGTGTGGCGTGTGAGATCCATATAGCACATGCTGATTCTTTTCCAATAGCTCCGCATTGAGCTCTCCTTCTTGACCCAGGAATGCTTCTTCCGCCAGCGGAGGTACGCTTTAAATGCCTCTGGGTCGCATGCGCGTAGTTGTTCTTCTGGGGACCTCTTGGTCTTTTTCATAATCTTGAAACAGTACCTAATGTGCGTTAGTCAAGAGTCTGCAAAGATAAGGTGTATGCAGATGAGATAGACCTTACCTCTCCCAGAAGTCGCCTTCCCTCTTCCATAGTTTCACCGTATGAGGGGTATGGTTTGGCTTTGCAGGCCCCTCCGCCCTTAATTGAGCAATGTCCTTCAGTATCTCTTCAGCTTCAGAGTCCAGATCCGCGTCTGACTCTTGTTCCAAGATCAGGCCAGCATCTTCGCTCGTACTTGGCTCGATATCCGTATCCGCCTCAGTATCGGGGTCCGAGTACGTGTCGGAGAACGAGTTGGTGTCCGACTGCCCTTCCCAGCACGAGACGGCAGCTGGAGATGGGTTGGATCGACGCAATGAGTAGCGATTTCGCATCAGAGCGGCGTTCTTGACGGCAGTAGAGGTGGCTAGCTCTCTTCGAATGCTTCGCTTCGTGGAGGACGGCATTGTCGTAGGAGGCGAGCGACTGGAGGAAGTTCGAGAGAAGAAGTAGGAGAGGCGATGGCGGAAGGGATAGTGAGCATGCCATACAATAAGTAGGCGCCGGCCCATGGGCAAGCTGTAGGCGCAGTGCCATTCTTGGGTTTCACGGAGGCGCTGACGGTACTTGCAGCCTTCCTCGTCCCACCAGCAGGGCAGCATGATGAGGACAACAATGCGGCGAAGTGAAGCCCCACTTAGCGTGGTAAGTGAGCATGGGTTTGGTTAAAGCGGCGATGTGAGAGAGGCTAAGCGAGGTGGAAACGCCTCCAAAAGCAGCGGCCAAAGACCTCCCAAAACGGATGCATTTCCACCGCCACATAGATATAGTTAGGTATAACTACTATGTAACATGTTTTATAAGCGAGCCGCCAGTACAAGCGAGCCGCCACCTAACCAACTTTCTACACCTCTCCTATCTTAACATACAATGGCTCTACGCAGCGCGCCTCAATTAGCTTCAAATAAAGCAGATATACAGCTTGCTATCTCTTCTATTAATACGCATTAAATTAATAGTGCTTCTACTGCTGCAGCTATATATAATGTCCCACGTACGACACTACGTAACCGACGCGCTAGTATACCTGCACGACGCGATTGCTAGCCCAACTCAAGGAAGCTTACCTAGAGAGAAGAGGAGGTGATTATCAGCCATATCCTTCACCTAGATCTACGTGGATTTAGGCCTACCTACGTTGATGTACGAGATATAGCTGATAAGCTAATAGCTGCACGCGGCGCTTGTGATGGATCAAACCTACGATCCCTCACGCGATCACGTGCCATACAATCACGTGCCACGCTGGCAGTTGGCCCGTGCGAGGAATAATAAAGTTCCCCTCGTACTTGTATATAGATCTGTACACACAATCTCACTTATTAGAGGCATCCTAACTATTGCAGTGTACTAGTGCCTTTACACTATTGTGTGTCAACCCCTACATACCTAGGATACTTCGCATCAGGCTCAGTTATCAGAAACACCGTCCGCGCCGAGCGCCGCCGCCGATTGAGCAACTGCGACTTGCTACATCGGGCAGAACAAGACGTTCTGCGACGGGTTAGGTCTTGACGACGAGGATCGCAAAGTATTGCGCTAGAAGCCCACGGGTGGAGACACCAGGCTCAACAAGCAAGTATTGCTCGTGAGGGTTGTCACCAACGCTGGTAGAGGACAGGTCCACCTACATCAACGGACAAGTAGGCAGAGGGCAAGGCATCGAGCTTCGAGAAGCGCGACCCTACGGTAAGCCCTGCGCAACACACGAAAAGACCAGAGACACCAGGCTCAACAGGCAAGTATTGCTCGTGGGGGTTGTCACCAACGCTGGTAAAGGACAGGTCCACCTACATCAACGGACAAGTAGGCAGAAGGCAAGGCATCGAGCTTCGAGAAGCGCGACCCTACGGTCAGCCCTGCGCAACACACACGAAAAGATCATCGCGATGGCAAACCCGGCCAATACCCAGAATACCCAAGGTACCTCAGCCACCGGTGCCACCTTCGGGCAAGCTTCCCAGGATCCTACTCAATCACAGATGGGCCCGCCTCTCGTACCAGTACGAGCTTGCCTCTCCAACCGCCGAGAGAGCATGCTTCTGGCAGCCCATCCGTCATCCCAGCCATCAGTATCAGCTAGCGGCGACCTAGAGCCCATGACTGCTACACGCGAGATTGTCGGCATCGAAATCAACGACGTCCTGCTCGAATACCTCAAAGATTCTAACTACGTTTACCTCCGTTATACCGTTGACACCGAGTGGTTCGAATTACAAGAGGATCCCGAACCTGACGAGCACAGCAATGCCTTTTACTCCCTTAGCACAGGCCGAATCCGCACTGATGGCAACATCACCCACAACATCAACGACTTCACTGTCACTAACTCTAGTAACCTCCAGAAGAACGTGAAGGATCGTCCCGACTTCTGGTGGCGATTTATTGTCTCTACGCTAGTCTCCCTACGCAACTGCACTGACGCCATCAATAGGCATCTGCAGACTGTGGACCGCAATGAAGGAGAGACTCAAGCTCTACGAGACCGACTAGCGAATGTTGAAGCAGCCCTTGATGAAACTTCGAACAGTAAACAACTACAAGTTGGCATGGTTAGCAGCAACCTGTACAAGGAGAAGCTGACAGAGATCCGACGCCTCACCTCGGACATCGGAAAGCTCAAAGCTGCGTCAGAACAACTCCCCAACGTTCGCGATGACCCCGCCTTCAAAGCCCTCGCCGCTGAGCGCGACCTTGCCGCCACCGAACGCAATGAACTCAAGCAGAAGGTTGAGGACCTATCCCGCCGAGCCGATGAACCGGAGAGCGGTCCTAACTACGCAGAGTTGGCACAGAAGCTCAAGGAGGAGTCTGACAGCGCCGACTGGTGGGCAGACCAAGCTAAGGCCAACGCTGAGCTCTGCGACAAGTTCAAAGGACAAGCTGATCGCTATTCTATCGAGCTTAACCAGTATGATGTCAAGTACTCTAACATGGAGGCGAACAAGAACGAAGCTCTCGCCCTTAAGGATAAGGCTTACGATGAGCTCAACCTCCAGCTCACCGAGGCTAGACGTGAGACAAAAACGGTCACCGACCGACTGCTGCAACATGAACCCAACTATCAGCCGTACACCCTCTGGCGGCGCGAGCGATCTTACGACCCAGTACGGCCTGTACAATCAAGCGTTTTGCTACAGCGACCTGTAGATGGTACCGCTGACCAACTCTCACAAGATCCTCGCCGAGCTGGGTACACCCCATGGGATAACCGTACTCCCGTGCGCGACGCCTCGCTACCTCCTCCATCATCGAACCCATACGCCCCCGCTCCTACAGTACCGCGACCGCCGCCCGTCGCGCCCTCTACCGCCGGTGGAGGATTCTCTTACAAACTCCCAGAACTTGAGACGTTCAAGGGCAAGGTCGACGACGACTACGAGCGGTGGCGCGAGATGGCAGTGGCCAAGTGTCGCACATACCCAGAGGACTGGCAAGCGGTTGACTACCTCAAGTTCCGCATTCAAGGCGAAGCTTACGAGCACATCCGAGATGTCAAAGCTCGCCATTTCCTAGATTTCCTAGAGACTCTCGACAGCCAGTATCTCACCTATGATCGGGAAGCTGACGCCGAAACCCTCATCGCCGACGGCTCGCTCCGCTACAAGTCTGGACAGAAGTTCATGGAGTGGAAGTCTAAGTTCACCTCTTGCATGCGAATCCTCAAACACAAGAACGCGACCCAGATCCGATACGCTCGCGAGTTCATGCGACCCGGGTTAGCTATCGCGACCACTGCCGGATCTCACAAGGATGAGACCATCCAGTCCTTCTTGCTGCGAGCGCAACACATCGACCAGGGACATCAACAGATTGACGCTGGCCGAAAATTAACTCCCGTTACGAAGACCGCTGGTGCTAGCCGTACCCAAAAGTTGGTCACCTTCCGGACACCCGACACTCCAGGTCACAACAACGCCGCCAGCACGCATACGTACAAGAAGATGGCCTTCGAGCGGTCAGAGAAAGACAAGAAGCGTCTAGCTGACTTGAAGCTCTGCTTCAAATGTGGCAAGGATGACCATCAGATGAGGCACGAGACTGCCCCCTGCCGCGGCAAGCCCTTCACTCCTTCTCACCAAATCCCCGCACTGGCTTCTTTGTACATCAATGCTCTCGACGCTTCCAACGAAGAGGAGCGAGACGAGGATACTGAGGAGCCGCTGGACGACAACGACTTAGTGGATGACGATGGCTTCTACGTCAACGACGAGGAACTACTTGAGCATTTAAATTAGGGGCTCCCGCGCAGAGCCGCGTGCGGGAGCTCAATTGGCGTAACGCAAAAAGACACCAGCGCCGTGTTCGAAACCAGCATCGCCGTTTCGAGATCGCTGCAGCCTTGCTGCTCGCCCCTGACGAAACGCCAACTATGACGGAGGTCCACTTCGTGTCCTCCGCCTCCATCGGAGGCAAGCCTTCTAAAGACTTCAGCCGACAACTCGAGTTTCCCGGCTCCGCTCTCACGCGACCTGATTGTTGGCAACCGATTTCTACCCTTATCGACACGGGAGCCAGCGCATGCTTCGTCAATCAGTCATGGGTTAACCAACACCGCCTAGATACTATGCCTGTGGCCAAACCCATTCGATTGTCACTAGCCAACGGCGGAGAAGTGGACAAGCTTACCCAGGCCGTTGATCTGCCCGTCCGACACGGAAGCCATACGCACAACGTCCTATGCAGACTCCGCAACAATCAATCGGATCGGCATGATTGATTCCTATCTAGGTTAAAGGCTGCCTAATGAAGTAATTCTTTAACCTATATAGAATCAATCATGTCAATCGATTGATTGTTGCGGAGTCTGGTCCTATGCTACGTCACCAATATCGGCAAGTACGACGTTATCCTAGCATGAATTGGATGGACTATCAGCAGCCTGCCCTCACTTTGGCGACCAGCGATCACTCACCTTCGCTAAGGCAGGGTGCAAACTTAACTGCCTCCACGAAGGACTCCCAGAGACGGTTTACGAAAACGGAGTTTGTCACAGTCACGTACAACTAGTCAAGGGAGACTACCAGACAGGCGACACCACTACTAAGACGAACAAGGATGGTAAGGTGACGACTGAGGAGACTATGGCTGATATCTACCTCATCTCCGCTGCCGCTGCAACCGCACTCGCAGCCAAACATCCTGACCAGGTCATATGGTTGGAACCCCGCCATTGGGCCAAGCTTGCGAAGCCCCCCGATGAAGACCGAGAAGGCATCGGCGTAGCCGCAGTCTCGCAAACTGACTTTGAGAAGTACATGCACAAGATGGAGCAACCTTACATGACTAGAGACCAGATTGGCCAGCTGGTACCTGAGTGGGTGTTGGACGAACTACCTGATCTGTTCAACCCTCATCTGGCTCATCAACTCCCCGAACGAAGACCAGGAGTCGACCACCCCATCGACCTGCTTCCTGACACTACGCCCCCTAAGCCTCATGTCTACGGACTCACTCGTACCGAGACTGAGGCTGTTAAGAAGTATATCGATGACATGCTGCAAAAGGGCTTAATCAAGGCCAGTAACTCCCCGTTTGCGTCACCTGTCTTGATCGTCAAGAAACCTGGAGGAGGTCTCCGCATATGTGTCGACTACCGAGC